CCCGTGTACGGATTTACCCCACTGCACCTTAGTGTTTTATGATTATGACCGAGCAATGGACAAAAAACTGTTGGACAATATTATTATGAAATTGTACGAAAGTGGATTCACAGTCGTGACAACGACATCCGATTTGGGATCAAGTAATTCAATTGTAAAAATTATTTGAAAAACGGGACTGAAGAAAATCAACGGTGCTATTTTGAACATCCGAGTGACAATAAACTCCTCATTCACGTATTTGCTGATGTGCCTCACTTGATGAAATTAGCACGAAATCACTTTCTCGATAGTGGTTTTTCTTACAAAGGAATTCTTACGAAGAAAGTCTTAGAGCAGGTTTTGCAGTACAGAGGGGAGGATGATGATATGACTATGGCCTACAAGTTGACAAATAAACTTTTAACTATAAGAGGTACAGAACGACAAAGAGTTTCTTTGGCCGTACAAGTGTTTTCGAATTCCGTTGCTGCTAGTATTAAATCCTTTGGTACGAAAGGTTATATTGAAAATTGGGAAACTGCTTTTTATGTCGTGCAACTCTTCAACGATTGGTTCGACGTTTTAAACAGCCGAAAAATGTATGGGACGCATAAAGGACTTCACGCGTATGGCACTGAGCTTGAACATCAGAATCGAATCTTACGAGAAATGGATCAATTCATCACGGAGATGAGAGTAGGCACACATAAATCAATGATTCCTTTTCAACGAGGAATTTCTCTGGTCTGTAATTCCCTGCCAAGTTTGTTCAATTATTTGCAAGATACCTTCGGCCACAATCAAGTTCAATATTTAATGACTTATCACTTAAATCAGGATGTATTGGAAAACACCTTTTCATATATCCGCCGTATGGGAGGCAATAATGATCATCCTAACGCGCTTGGATTTCAATATCGGCTTCGGTGGTACATCCTTAGGAAATACTCAATGGATTTCTTTTCACTCCAGGCTAATACTGTTCCTATTGACAAAGATTCGAGTTTGATTCATGCGTCCGATATTTCCAACTGTATGGCGGATGACACCTATGTTTTAACCACTATTTTTCCACAAAATTCGTTAATGTATGAAAATAGTGAATTAATAGAAACAGAAGAATCGGAGGAATTGGAGGCAAAAGAAGATTCTGTACATATTGCTGATTGTGAATCACTAAGAATTACTAAAGAATTTACATATTTTCCTATGGAGACAGATGATAATTCTGAAGGTTAATATCCAATAAAAAAATAATATAGGAACTATGATTTAATTCATACTTTTCCTTGTCTTGAAATTTTGTAAAAAATATCGTAACATCTTGGGAGAAAATAGAATAAGGTCTCAATCATCAAGGAACTATGATTAAAATTATAGTTTTTGTTTTCCTTTTTGAAGCAATTTTGTAAAAAAAAGTAGTAAAATTTTCGCAAAAGAACTGGGATTAGTTACGAATTAACTCATAGCCTATCTTTTTATAATCAATTTGGTACAGAAAGTACGAACGGAAATGGAGAAACAATCTACGTTCTCTTGGGATTAATTATGTAAATTTCTAAACAAATATCTTCAAATTAAGGGAGATAATTAATGATAAAAAATTTTTGTGAATTTGTTATCAAATCGCTTGCCTCACCATCACCGTCACCAACTTGGAACAAGAATGGTATTTAGAGAAACATTGTGTAATTTGAAAATATTATTGTACATCCATTTATGAAATATATTTTTTTCTTAGCTTCTAATACGAGTTCCAACACGAGCTTCCAGCGAGTAACTGACTGCAAGCCATCAAGTCAAGAAATAGATCTTTTGAACCAATTAGAAATTGCTGATGCCCAGGAATGGAACGCTGAACAGGGTTTGAAGTATGTGACCGGTTATGTTGCCCATCGATTTAAAGAAAAATATCCATTTTTGGAAGATAAAAGTCGAATGTTGGTTGCAACTGAAGAAGATTATATTTCCATCTTATCAAGGGGAGGTCTGACTCATCCCTCCAAAGTATTCTTGGACGCAGCTAAAATAATGGTGCAAGAATTCAACAAATTTCATCAAAAAAGTTTATGCCTAGAAAAATATATTTTCAAGAAAGTCACCCAGCTCGTGGAAAAACGAGTGAAAAATATTCCACATGAGGTTTTGCTTTGTTTGGTTAGGACCAGAACCTACATTAGATTAAGAGCATTGAACAATTTGATTTGTAACGCAAATAGGAAAAGGAAAGAGAAGAAGCTAACGAAAATTTGTAATAAAAAATAATTTTAATTTTATGTTAATTTTTTTTCTGTTCTCGAGACCTTGAGGAAAGCTCAACTTTATCATAAGTATTCCTACCTTTTCTTTTTATTTTTGTTTTGATGCAGTTGTTTTTGGAAAAGAATAGTTCAAGTCGTTCCTTTTCAACTGTTCATTATTTCTTTGTCAATTCATGGAAATAAATTATTTTTTTCAGTGACTTATATTTTGTTCAGAAATAAAAATGCATCCTAATTTGCTTGTTCACGAAAAAATAAATAAACGGCCAGTTCTTTATGCAAGAAAATGTATTTTATTTATTCAATTATCTTGAATATCTGCTGGTTCCCCCGCAGTAATGGCTGACATGGTGGCAGCTTACTATTGGTCGGTGGAATTACGCTGCGCCTTGACTCACCTTTCTTTTTCCACCATGCAGCCACTCCAAATAATCACCTAATGTGACGATCCTGTCGGTTCGCTCCACCAGATCTTGCTCACGTTGTTCCATGTTGTCGCGCTAGCGTCTTTTCAGACTTTATACTGTCCACAATGTTTTTCTTCTCGATCTCGTATAAAATCTCCTACTGTGGTGCAGCGGACTTCCGAACCGATTTATATACAGGTTGGTCCAGTGATGAGTAGCGGAACTTCAGGGGCGTATTCCTTGGACAATTCTAAGACGAAACATCCATTTGAGTTTTTGTCGAAAATCGCTT